CCTGCTGGACAGGCGCGACCGCAAACTAGTCATGGCTCAGGTTCTACCGTCCGAAGCACATCACCGGCCAAGGGAGGCTCTCCCACTCGGATGCCTTCGCCAACCCGCCGATCACCGACACGCCCAGTGACGCCCAGCCGAAAAGAAAATATCGATCCCAAAATGCCGCAGACGGAACGCGCCACGAGAAGAAAAGGCGAGGCCTCGGTGTCTCCTCCCACGCAAGAGGCCAAGAGAAGGTCACGGGCTACGAGTATTCCTTCTTCTCGGGCCCCTGGTCTGAAGGAGAGACCGCTTCAAGTCAACGGCTCCGACGCGAGACGCCTGCAACCGACGTCTTCTCAAAAGACCCCCAAACTGCGGTTGCAGAGTCCCCAAAAGGTAAGTTTGTCCCTCGCTTGATGTACAATCTATGGGAGACATGACGACTAACATTGATTATACAGCTTCGGGATCGCCTCAATAGTGAAAAGAGAGCACAAAATATGGCGCAGCTAGGTCTCAAGGACGAGCTTGATCTCATTGGTGAGGAACTACGGGCGATGAGACTTACTCCGTCGTTAGTCAGAGGTGACGCACAAGGGCACGAGTCCCTTGACGAGCCATTTGCCTCGCCAACCGCGAATTCGTTCTTGGTGTCCCGCGTCCACAACCTCGAGATGAAGTTTGAAACGCTATCCGGGGAGTTCAATGGCCGCACCGCGGCGATTGAAAAGGATCTGGAGTCGTCTCTGGTGGTCAGCGAGAAGCGTGCCAAGAAGCTCGACGAACTTTATCGTGAAGCCAGCGCTGAAAACGAAGCTCTTTACGATCGATTCAACTCCGAACTGAGCAAAATCGCTAAAGACGTGAGAGCTGGAAATGTCGAGGATGCGCTCAAAACACAACTGTCATCGGCCCTGGAGGAGATTGGCCGGTTGAAGAAGGAAAATTTCCGGCTCAAACGTGAAGTGGGAGGATTACGCGCGCAGCAAGCCGCGGTGGCCTTATTGAAGGCAAGTGAGTGAGCGCTGTATGGTAACAGGCTCGCATCATTGACGTACATTTTCATTATTCTAATGTTTTGTTTCTTTCCTGGGATATCTTCGAACTGGATATGAGTGTATGCCTGTTACTGGAGATGGCCTTTCTTTTCCTTCCTTCTTTTCTTTCTTGGAATCTATTTTACGGTGGTTTTGGCGTCTGAGCCATGGTGATGCTCAGGAGCGTCGTTCATTTATTCCGCACTGTGCATAACACTTCTCTTTCCTTTGTGTCGTGGCATAGCCTGCGGGTCTGCTTGGCTATTCTGGACTGCATCCGACGGGGTTTGCTTCGGGTTGGCGGATTATGCATGTCGATCTCTTCCTTTCCTATTCTCTGTGATATTTTCACTTATGCGTACATTCCTTGTCTGGAAATCTCTTTGTAGCATAGCTTAGCTAGTTCTTCAACCAACGCATCCGTTCCAACGGTTCCCGATCAATCACCTTATACATCCACTCCCACCGGACACTACATGACACTGACTTTAGAGTATCTTCAGCTCCAGGCATCCACATCTCCATAGTCGGCAACGCCAACGGCACCTCACTCCCTCCATCCCCAACCAATACCAACATCGGCAAAGTAAAGCGCACCAATCCCGGTGCATCCCGTCCCAACCGATCCATCACCGCTCTCATCTCCTCCTTCGACGCAGCCATGCGAATACCCTTCAAATCGGACTTTTGCAACGGCCGCACAACCAGCGACAGCGACGTTGGTCCTGCCCCTGATGAAGGTGGTATACTCGTCCCCGTAACCCGGAACCAGTACCTATTATCCCAGAGATGCCAGTCCGATGTACTAATGGATATTTGGGACGTTTCTGTGTTTCCGCTGTGCTGAGTTGGGTAATGTGAGGATGAGGATGGGGATGAGGATGAGGATGAGGGTGGGTAGATAGGCACAGTGATGGGAAGAATAGGGAGGCGGTTCCGCATGTATGGTTGGCGGGTGAGGAGGTATGTATTTTCATAATTCGTGATGTCTGGTGTGGTTGTGGTGGTGGTTGAGGATGGGGGTGGTGATGATGGTGGTGATGAATCGCATCGAAGAGGCTGGAACATTACGCCGCCTAATGTGAAAGAATGTTGCTTTGCTGGGGTATTTCCTCGTTCTTGTGATATGGAAGAGGATGGAGGAGGAGAAGAAGGGAAAACATGAGAAACAAAAGGCTCGAAACTCCGCAACGGGAAATGATTTTCCGGGGATGGGGAGATGAGTTCGGTGATACGTCGGAGGGTGAGGGATGATGTGTCTTTATTCGTTTCGGTTGGGGTGGGTTTCTTTGATGGAGATGGTGGAGGGAACTTGATAATCAAACACCCCGTATCCGGCGCGAACTCGAGGACCGCGCACCGCTCAAGAATCTCATTCGAGTTCTCCGTCACCGACCTCAGAAGCGAATTACTCTTCCTCATCAATGAAAGAATCGATTCTTCGCGCAGCGCACGTGGGAGTTTCTTCTCCGCGAGGAGACTCCGGATGGCATTTCTGGGAGTCAAGGTTGGGTCGAAGTTCGTTGGATCGTCGACGTAGGGGATGTTGTTTTCTTTGCATGTTGCGAGGAGGGATCGTTTAGGGAAGGATAAGAGTGGGCGGGTTATTGAGATGCCGCCTGTTGATATTTGATACTGCTTTTGTTGGTCCTGGGTTGTGGTGGTGGGTGGTGATTCTGTAAGTCTTAGTTCGTTGGTATTCGTAGTCTTGATGCGATGGTTATTATGATTTGCCGGTTTCGATAATGTCATTGAAGATCCACTCTCCGCAACCCCAAACAACCCATGACATTCCGGAATGCGCGTCACCGCTGGAATACCCGCTAGTCCGGCGCCCCGGGCCCCCGTGCAGAGACGCCAGAGGGTCGTCTCGACGTTGTCGTCTTGGTGGTGGCCCATGAGGAGGGTCTCGATGTTCCGTGCTCGACAGGCCTGCCCGAGAGCTTGGAAGCGCAGGCGCCGGGCGTGGGTTTCGAAGGCGGAGATGGAGTGGATTGGCCAGGTTAGGGGGAGGATTTGTGTCTTTAGGCCTGTTATTGTGGTCAATATATGATGCGTCATGGAAAGATGTACGGGAGAGATATACCCATATCGTCAAGCCAGCCTGCAACCATGTTCGCTTCGCGAGTACTCTCCTCGCGGGCTTTATGGTCCACGACGAATGCTGTCACGGAGACGGTGTCGTTGCTTGTTTGCCTCTGGGTAAGTTCCCATTGTTTGCAGAGGTAGGCGAGGGCCATGGAGTCGGCGCCGCCGCTTATGGCGAGGCCTGGTGCGTGTTAGTTTGGGATTAAGGTAGGTGCAGGGGAGGGAGCAAACCGAGCCTGCGTGGGAGATGAGTGTCATGTTTCCGCCCTGTTCGGGCTGGTCGTGACTCCAGCCATATGCGCTGGAAGGAGTCGATGAAGTGTTTGACCGTTAGGGGGCCGGGGGAGGTGTGGCGGTGGAGATGGGATATTGCCATGGTGAATGGTTGGTTGGCTGGTTGTGTGGGCTAGAATGTCAAGGGCACATTGAGGATTAATATTTGATACTATGGAATATTTAGTTCTACTATTTGTGGATTGTAGGAATATAGACCTACGGTACTGCGGAATTCAAGTGACGGATGAGGACAGCTTGGATGATTGCCGTTTTTGGACCAGCATCTGGAATGCGAATTCAGTTTGTATGTTTGTATGTGTGCATACTGTTACAAGAGCCCGATTGGCATGGCTGTTGGGGTAATAGATGCGAAAAGCTCTATTCAGGATGTATATTGATGTTAATGCGGTCGACTTCTGTCAACCAATTCAATTGACGGTCACGTGATTTTGTAATCGGGAAAATGAACTTCCGACGCTTTCAAGGAGTATGTTGTTAAGAAATATAGTGAAGTAATATATTGTCGTTGCTTTGTGCTCGACACCCTGCAGAAACATAGGATCGCCTGTGAGACAATTTGGAGGGGTACCTGAATAGTGAAACGTAGTAGTGTGCGTATGCCGTTGTCGTGCGAAAATATACCACCTGTTGACGGTCCGAGGTACTAGTACAGAATATATTTCTGCTGGAGTGACATCCACGATGATTAAATACAGGCACAATGTTGATCTCACACATTGGCCCTCTTGTCGGACTAGACTTGTTCGGCTTCTTCTCTAATATCTACATCAGCTTTCTGTGCCGACCAAATTATAGTCCATTGATTACCAGCGGCCAGAATGAATGCTAGAGCGCTACCAGCTATTGGAAGATGCTAGTAGAAACATCGTTAGAAACCCGATTAGAAAAGTCATAAAATGGGTGGCTAACTCACAAAGATAGTCTAAAATGGCGCAACGACTTCATTCATAGGGATATTCTCATTATTACGGAAGGTCAAGTCCGCACCGACTTGACGCCTCTGTATGTTTAGCCGGCACTGTTCAGCTTTGTCATTCACTTACTTTAACAGGGGTGCTGTGATTGGAGCTCAATGCAATTCCAGCAAGTGTTCTCGGGCATGCACTTAGTCAAAGGGATAAATATCACCAGTATAATCAACATCGACTGCTTTGTATTGCGCGTTCCTCATTCAATATTGTTACAGCATTTCTTGCAACGCCGACCTCAGTCAAATCTAATCTCCCTATGCTCAGCCACACCTCTATCTGGTATGGCCTTCTTGTTCTGTCGAAGTTGAGCATGTCTTCGGATGCCGCAACAGAATACAGGTCACTCGAAGTCCATAGCAGACATATTCACAACTTGGATAGGAGACATACCGGTGGAATTTCAATCCATAGATCCGGCTTACGCGCCATAAAGGAAATGTGACTTTCGTACCTCTATCGACCGAATTACGCAGAAAAGAGTTGAACTGGGTAATCAAAATATTGGGTTTTTAGTGGCGGACTTCATCTCGGCCTGCTTGTCGAATATCGACGAAGAACCTTAGCTGACATATCCTACAAAGTAGACCTACGCCCCGATATGACTTAACGAATTTCATTTCCTGATGAGTGACTAGTGGTAGCTCTATGAGCGGCGATACTAGAGCTATTGATATATTTCACTAGGACTCACTTAATTCACGACGAAAAATCTATAACCCCAGCGTGGCTTGGACGCTCCTGTATCCTTGGAAAGGTACGTATACCCCACTCCCACTCGGACAGACACCCCATCCCTTGTGGCCACACCCAAGAAGACCATAACTGTCCGCGGTAAACCCATGATAGTGGTCGTGCAACAAATAATTACTAGCTCGGTCGCCGGAACGAAAGAGTTGCTGTCGCTTTTGACATCGTATTTGAACTGCCCTGCATGGCCTCCAGGCAGATCTAATGGTTTGATCCGCTCAGTGCCGGCGAGTGCGATGTTAAAGTCACCGCAGCCCAGGTATGCACCAATGAAGCCCAGCTGGCCACAAATAAGACGGACCTGCAACGAACCAAGCGATTTGCTTAGCAGTCTTTTCACATGGATTCCGATGACATCGCTGAGAAACTTTCGTGTGATCCAATAGTCTTTGAGCTTGTGCTTTTCTTTCTCCTTTCGGACATCCTCTGAAGCCTGCCACAGACGGTGCGACCAAAAGCAGCTGTTCGCATCACCAAATTGCCATTGGGCAACTGCGACGTGCACTGGTGAATTTTTCCGGGGGGCGTGTGAGATGCTCCTCGACAACCAAAGGCTTTCCGCAAAAATGAACTCTATCGGGCCGAGCCATGACGCCCTGTCAAGTGTTAGCCGCAACCATCTATGTAAGTTTATTCACCTACCAGGACCAGGTGGAAAAAGCCTCTCCTGATTCGCGTCTCTGGCATGTGTCGGAAGGAAACCACAGTAATGCCTGGGCCATGAGATGGGGAGGGATGCCTTGAGCCTGGCTAATATTTAGGACTCTGGGACCCTCCTGCACCTGCTGGAACTTGTTGAAAATACCCTCAAAAGCATTGAGTATATCTTCAGGCTTTGTGAGATTTCTTCGACTGTAGTCTTGAACAGAGCGTTGATAGCTTTCAGCATCCAATCCATTGCGTGGATCCCCAAGGTAATCATAAGGGGTCGGATCCGGATCTTTCCTGAGCCTCTTACTCCACCATGGAGGCCCAGTGCGAATCTGAATTTGTGCTTCTAATGGGCCTCCGTCTTCGTAGTCATACCCTTCCCTCCATTGAACGTCCGGGCACTGGAAGAATATTTCGTTCCTTGTAAAGTACAGACAGCGCTGTGATAGACTTTGCTCCTGGAATGTCCATCCACGAGTGCTCCACATGCCTTTCCGCACTTCATGACACAAAGATGGCAAAGAAAGGGACAGAGACAAGGTGTGGCCATTTGTTTCGTCGAGGACATTGTGTGGCTTAATTGGACAACCTGCCCGTGGACTAATTCCTGGCAATCCTGCATCTGGATTATCGCCCGTTGTGGCCATGATTGTGATGGTTGCATTATCATAAATGTCGTCCATGTGGCTGATTAACCGCGACTTGTCTTGCTCATCATCCTGCACAATGCACAGCGTGTCCACCCAGAAATATCGGATACCGATCTTTCGAGTCAGCTCCATCGCGTCGGAAACTGTACGAGGAATCTTTCCCAGTTCACGACATGACTCCGATAGGGCATGCGGACGAGATAATAAACTAATGTTTTGTCGAGTTGTGACCAGAATCGGGCTTTCAAGATTATGATGAGGAGTCAGGATGGTTGGGGATTGACCCCAGACATAGGATAATGCCACGTAATCGCACTTCTCTATCTGGTGTGTCAAGCATTCTTGCGCCACATCGATCAACCGGAAAGAGTGGCTATCAAATGGGCCAGTGCCTATCTTTTTGGGTGCTGCAGTGGAGTGCTTGTGTGTTTTGCATTGCTTCAGCCAGTTCTGCATTAGGGAAATGTTCAGCTGGGTCGGAATAGTTCGTCGTCGTATCAAATCCCTCTTGCCATCATTCATGGATTTGTTGGACACTTGTTCAATTTCGGCCAGAATATACCTGCCTCCCTTCACCCGATCAATCTCGCGAAGTGGTCGGCGATTCTGCCGATGATCAGTCTTCTGATCAACTGCAAGCAGTAATCGCGGACCGGGATAATGCATGTATCCATTAATTTTCACCGACACTGGGCTCCGACTCTGGATGAAGAGCCGAGGGGATGACTTGGTGTGCGAGTTGGTGGTCAAGTCCCATCCATCGGCCGAGGCCAGCTTTATTGCATTAGCAATCATGCTACAAAATGGGCAGGTCGGGCTGTGATAGTGGGAGATGGAGCCCATCGGTCGCTCGTTGACCTCAATAGCTAGCATTCTTCCAAGTTCGAGTTGGTTGCATTTTCTGCATAGCTTCCTGTGTGATGGCGGTTGATTCATTGCACAGAACCTGCACTGCGACAAAGAGTGGGACAGGCCAAAGAAGATGGTGCTGAGCCCGCTTTGTCCTGGCTTATCAAAACTCTAGAAGACAAAATCCGTCTCCGCTTGCAGGCTGCCTCCATCTAGGCTACGGACTCGTGCGGCTGATTGATGCTGCAACCCCTGACTTGGTTGGCGCCCTTTTCACAGACCAATGATCAACATCCACAGCCGCGGACTTTGATGGGCAAGTTGTCGACCCACTTTACCTAATTAGCACTCTTCGAAAACATAGAAAAAGCAACATGCGCTCTGACCTTACAGAGAATCGGGTACTAAGAATTTGGCGTGTTATTAGGAGCCCCGCGTCTCGCTCGCGAAGACAGTTGTGTCTCTCGAACTAAGGATACAATCCCTCGTTGTGAAATTCCCATCTAATTCCCCAGAGAACATCGAGCAACATAATGTTACGCATCTTCAATTTTAGGTTGCGCAAGACCGCTAGTCGGGAACAAGAGGACACCGCACCTGCCACTCCAACCACTCCCTCGCGCTTCCTATCCCACCTCTCCAAGCACCCGGACAAGCCCACACGTCAGCTGCTCCAACCATATTTGGAATATGAGACTTGGTTACGGAGGCAGTTCACCACGCCAAAACCCACTATCGGTGGTTCCGGAGATTTGGTGTCAGTCTATGCCTGGCGTCAGAGCTCGCTTAGAATTCGTACCACAGATCGCAACGAGACTCCCGCGGCCCAATATATCATGCCGCTCGAAAACGAGCAACGACTACCGGAAGGGGCCCCGGCAATTGCAGCCTCGTTCGCAGAGTTCCAATATCAGTTCGAAGCTTTCACTCACGGTAATGTACCTGGCCCGACGGCTGACTGGATCCCTTTTTCTGACGAGTGTACACGTTGAAAAGGCGTTCTCCAAGGTATTGGTATGGATCAAGTGCATTAGACCCATATGCAGAAAGTAACACCGCTAACAGATGTCGCTAGACTGGTCGAATATTGTGGTTGCTGGATCAGCTGCACTCATACCCTTGCTTCCCATCCGTGAAGACGTATCACTTACTGCGACTGCTGCAGTGGAACGGCGAGAAGAGCACTACTATCAGTGGGTAATTCCGAGTTTCATTGACCAAGTCCTACCTTAACGTCGAAACCTCGCAGAACGATTGCAGACGCCAGTGACATCGACATCTTCATATATGGCATCAATAGTGAAGAAGCGGCGATCAAGCGCATCCAGAAGCTGGAAGCGGTGATTCGGAAGAACCAGCGATTAATTCCTGGTGAAGGTCTTTGTTTACGTACCAAGAACACCGTGACGTTCATATCCCCAAAATGGCCATTCCGTCACATCCAGGTAGGTCAGGGAAATGGTCTGTTTGGGCGAACTGTTGGTTGACCTGTTCTCCCCGCTGGGTCAAATCAGGTGGTCCTACGGTTATATCGATCTGTGACTGAGATATTGACTGGGTTTGATGTTGACTGCGCCTGCGTTGCCTTTGATGGACGTCACGTCTACACTACACCGCGAGGCGCTACGGCGATAGCAACACGCACAAACACCATCAATCTTACTCGCCGAAGCCCATGTATGCCCTTCTGATATCCTTAATACACCACACACATCCTTTGAACTAACCCCACATATGTATATACAGCTTACGAGATGCGCTTATTCAAGTACCGAAAGCAGAACTTCGAGGTCTTCTGGGAATCCTTGGACCGATCGCGCGTGGACATGGACCTATTCGAGAAACTTTTCAGCGATCGTTCTATCCATCCTAAAAACGTCAAAGGACTCGCTCGGCTAATATTGGGAGAAATTGCCGTAAGCGGCCGATATGCCTACAGCGACTATTTGACAACTCGGGCATTGAAGAAGCTCGACGATGCTCGGGACCCCGAATTGATAGGTCCCACCGTTTATACGAGCATAGAGGTTCCGTATACCAAACGACTCACAGCAGATGAGTGCGTATAGCGTTGTCAGACCGCTGATTGTCGTGCTAACGAAATATACTCAACCAGTGTCCGCTCATTCGTGGCCAGTCATTCTAGCATTCCATTTTTGTTCGGCACATTAGACCAGATCATCAAGGGATCCGGCTCTCGAAGACCACAAGACAAGGACTTGGCGGGAAGACTCAGTTTTATGAAGGACAACCCTGGGCGACAGATGATTGGCAGTTTCTATCCCCTAGACGAACGGGGCTGGTAGGGTACTCGTTCTTATGTGGTTTTGTTGCAATGTTGACAGTTTCTACACAGGGCTGAGGCCGCGTACGAGATTATGGAATATTTATCTGACAGTGAAGAATACCCGTCAGAGAGCGACGAATCAGAAGACCAGGAGAGTGACGAGCAGAGCAGTGACCAGCAGAGCAGTGACCAGCAGAGCAGTGACCAGCAGAGCAGT